CGTCTACCCGTTCCACTGCGGCCCAGGCGTCTGCGCTGACGTCGACGGCTGGTTCGAAATCAACTTGCCCACGGCGCGCGTCGTCGACGAACTGTAGTTCCCCCGCGTCGTCGACGCTGTCCTGGCGAGGCGCGCGAGCGGCCCGGACGATCGCCGCCCGCGAAAAGAAGCGCGGCAAGCAACAATGCGGAGCGCGCGATGCGCGCGGGGCCTGCCTCGCGGACCCGCCGCGAGACCGTGGGCGCCGCCGCGTTGGGGGAGCTGGCGGCGCAGGTGCACGCCCGGAATGCGGTGCTGGTGGAGGCGCCGGCGGCCGCCCGTGCATTGCGAACAGACGCGACGACCAGAGTAGCCTCGAACGCGGGCGCGCCGCAAAAATTAAACGACGCCCCTGAACGCGAGCGCGCGGAACAAGCCGCGTCTGCATCGGCCGCTGCAAGATGAAATGGCGCGCGAGCCGAACTGTCGTCTGACGGGGTGCGCTTTAACCGCGCGCGCAATTTCGGCGCGAATCGGACCGTCAGTTTGTGCGGTGGCATGGGCCATGCCTGGCGCCCGAAGCACGAAAGCCAAGCGCGCCGCGAGCCGATCTGTCGGCCGAAATCAGCCCGCGAATAATTGCACGACGCCGCGCTTTCTGTCCCAGCTTCGCGCCGCGATGCGTCGCGTTGCGCGCCGGCCGCTACCGCTCGCGCCGCCTGCAGGCGCCCCCCCCAGCTTCTCGCGCGAAGCCGACGCTAGGGCTTGCGCCCCGCGGGGCGCAGTGGCGTCCTTGGCTTCCGCTGTTCGCCCCGCTAGGACCGCGAGCGCTTGGCCCCTTTGCTCCATCTGGGGCCTCCCTTGCTAGAGCCGCCCTTGTCCCAGGAGCCCCCCCTGCTGGGGCCGTTGCTCCAGTGCTGCGCGGCGCTCTTTCCGCCCTTGTAGGCTCCCTTGGTGCCGCCCCTGGCGCTCGTCTCAGACGGCGCCGCCTTGTTCGCGGCGACGTCGGCGTCGCGGGCCTCCCCGGCGCGACCCAAGATAACATAATCCAAGCGCTTTGCCGCGCGATCCGCCTGCGCGCGGCCGACGGGGCCAGCGCGACGCGGAAGCGCGCGCGCCAAAAAACAGCGCGCACGGGCCGCGAAGGACGAATCGCCCGAGCGCGAACGTTCGGCCCAGTCTTTGCGGGCCTGCTCGTCGTAACAGACCGCGAGCTGCAGCCGCCGCTGGTTGCGGGCAGCCCCGAGGCCCGCCGCCGTGCAGACGTCGCGATGGGCTGCGGCTGCGGCGTAGCTCAGCTGGCCCGTGGCGTGGGCGCCGACCGCGTAGCGGCTCCGCGCGAGGCGCCGCTGGCTGCTCGTCGGCAGGACGCGCTTGGGCGCCGCCATCGCCCCCGTTGCCTCGCGCGAGGAGATGGGCGCGACGCGGGAGCGCGCGACAGGGGGGCCCCGCGCCCGTGCCAAGTTTTTCAAGTCCTCCGAAAGTTTGGCTCCGCCTTCGTCGGCATCGCGAAGCGCCCCGGCGAGGTGCTGCAGCAACCGCGTGGATAATTTCACGCAGACGAAGCTTTTTTCAATGCCGCCCTTCCGAAGCTTGGCCACTTCGCTGGCGAGCTGATTGACGAGGTCGGAGCTGCGCCGCGAGCGTCGCGCGCAGCATGGCGCCCGCGCGTCTCCGCGACGAGCTGGGCGGCGCCTGGGCAGGAGGTCGCTGGGCATACCTTCGAGGCTTGCAGTCTTGGGCGAGGCGCGTATATCCACGTGGGCCGCCGCGGGGGCCTGCGACGCGACGCGCGCGACGTCGCGCGGCGGCGGGCGCGCGCAATCGCGCCGTCAAACCTCGTCCGTCTTTTGGAGAAACGCGAGGAGGGCGGCGCTGGCGCCCCCGCTGGCCGACCCTGTGGCCGCCTGCTGATCCTTGCTCTCGCCCTGCGCGCGAGCGTTCGCGCGCGCCCCTCGCGCTTCGCGAGCGCGCGGGCCTCCTCGCGCCCGGCCATCTTGATGGCTGGGCGGACGCGGCGCTTCTTGCCACCATCCAGTTCAACATTCTCGAAGCGGAATTCCTCAGACTTGGCCCCGGCCAGCTCTGGGGGTGCAGTAATGCTCTCGGCCGCCAGCGCCGCTGCGATCGAGTCGAGCCAGGCGGCTTCCTGCGCGCCCGTTCCATCGGCGCGCTCAAGAAAAGCGCGAATGGTCTGTGGCGCGACTTCGGCCATCGTGAAACGGCGTGTTGCGCGCGCGTAGCGCGAGACTCAGCCGTTGCCGCGCTCGACGCTGACGGGAAGATGGCGCGACTGCGCGGCGGGGGCGCCCGCGCCTCGACGCGCCGTCGCAGACGCACGGGTCGCCGCGCTGGCCGCTTGAGCCGACGAGTAGAAGGCCCCCGAGAAGCGGCGGTCCACGTCGCCCGAAAGGGCAAAACCTGCGACGGGAGCTGCCAGATCCCAGGAACCGCCGAGCGCCTGGGCCGCGTGGGCCCGCGCTGCGGCGACGGCCGCATTGGCCCCGCGTGGCCGCTTGGGGCAGTCGGACAAATGCGCCAGCGCGAAACCAGCCGTATTTGCCTGCGCCAGCGAAGGCGGCCGCCTGGGCCCCAGAGCCGCCGAGCGCTGGGGATGAATGGGCCCGCGCTCTTGCAAGAGCCGTACTTGCCCCGCGCGGCCACTTGGGGCCGACTGACAGTGTGTGCCCGTGAAAAGCAAGCCGTATTGGCCTGCACCGGCGATGGGAGCCGACTGGGCCCCAGAACCGCCCAGTGCCGGGGCCGAGTGGGCCCGCGCATTTGCGAGGGCCGTATTGGCCCCGCACGACCACTTGGGGCCGAAGGACAATGTGCGTCCGTATGATTACAAGCCGTATTGGCCTGCACTGGCGGTGGAATCCGACTGGGCTTGCGCCAGCAGCCTCCCGCACCCAGAGGTGCTCGCGCCCACTTGACAAGGCGCCGCGCC